ATCGACCGAAGATTGGTGCCAAATTGCAGATAATCTTCCGCCAGTTACAAATCTGAAATCGCCGTCACGATATCTGTTCCAATAAACACGAAAACTACATTAAAAGTTTTCAAAAATTTTCCAAAAAAATGGTTAAAATGGGTTCAATCGACCGAAACTTGGTGCTAAATTGTAGATAATCTTCCACCAGCCACAAATCCGAAATTACCTTCACAACATCTATTGAAATAAAGGTAAAATATGATTCCAAAATTTTCAAAAATTTTCCAAAAAAATGGTTAAAATTAGTTCAATGGACAGAAAATTGGTGTTAAATTGTAGATAGTCTTCCGCCAGTTACAATCCGAAATCACCTTCACAAAATCTATTGAAATAAAGTTAAAATATGTATATATGATTCCAAAATTTCAAAAAAATTTAAAAAAAATGGTGAAAATTGGTTCAATCGACCGAAAATTGATGTCAAATTCTGGATAATCTTTCGCTAGTTGCAAATCTGAAATCGCCTTCACGATATCTGTTGTAATGAACACAAAAAGTGAGTGCAAAATTTTCCAAAATTTTCCAAAAAAATGGTTAAAATTGGTTCAATCGACCGAAAAATGATGTCAAATTCTGGATAATCTTTCGCTAGTTGCAAATCTGAAATCGCCTTCACGATATCTGTTGTAATGAACACAAAAAGTGAGTGCAAAATTTTCCAAAATTTTCCAAAAAAATGGTTAAAATTGGTTCAATGGATAGAAAATTGGTGTTAAATTGTAGATAGTCTTCCGCCAGTTACAATCCGAAATCACCTTCACAAAATCTATTGAAATAAAGTTAAAATATGTATATATGATTCCAAAATTTAAAAAAAATTAAAAAAAAATGGTGAAAATTGGTTCAATCGACCGAAAATTGATGTCAAATTCTGGATAATCTTTCGCTAGTTGCAAATCTGAAATCGCCTTCACGATATCTGTTGTAATGAACACAAAAAGTGAGTGCAAAATTTTCCAAAATTTTCCAAAAAAATGGTTAAAATTGGTTCAATCGACAGAAAATTGGTATCAAATTGTAGATAATCTTCCACCACTTACAAATCTGAAATCGCCGTCACAATATCTGTTCCAATAAACACGAAAAGTGAATTCAAAATTTTCAAAAACTTCCAAAAAAATTGTTAAAATTGGTTCAGTTGACCGAAAATTGGCATCAAATTGTAGATAGTCTTCCGACAGTTACCAATCCGAAATCACCTTCACGACATCTATTGAAATAAAGGTAAAATATGATTCCAAATTGTTGTTTAGATACATAATGCGTATGTACGTAAGCCTGATTGATGGACTTGTGTTTCCATTTTTTTAATGTTCAAATCAATTTTCTTTTACCGTACTGAATTAACATACGTGTCCTTGCAGAAATGTTGTTAGGAACATTTTCCACTGAGAAAACTAACTCTTTAGAAGCCTAGGTTATCCTTGCGTTTAATCGTTGAACTCTTTCAGTGTACAAACGTAAACAGTCGAAGTTAAGCATTTGATATTATATGGGCGTTTCTTAAGCCATTCTTTAGCCCGCTTTTTACCTGTGCTTTAACAGTCCATATATATCTGTATTTTAAGTTATGGAGGTTATAATAAAAAATAAAATTTGCAAAATAACATTTTTTTTTTCGAAAACGCTCTTTCGTTCTGTTGTACATCAGGGGCAAAGGAAGTTCTCTCTAGTAACCTTAACTCATTTTTTTTTAAATTGTTTCTTAAAAATATGCTTCTAGGTGTAACAATATTTTTATTTTTTAGAATTGTTCATACAGGATGTAATTATAAATGAATCAACTAATTTTACTGATTATTTTTAATTTTAGTGTATAGACGTTATGATATAAAAGCATCGAATATACAACCATCTGACGAATAAAATAAAACAAATTATTTCATCTTTCAGTACATCTTCAACTCTGAAAAATAGAGTTTGACTGATAATTAATAGGGATTATTATTATTACTAAAACTTCTGGTATTTTTGTCTTAATGTATTGTAGGAACACTACATCAAATTGGCTTTCGAAAATCTGTCACTGCATTTTTAGTAAGAATTTTCCGGTTCCTTGAGCCTGGTAGCAATCTATCATTCGAACTGAATTACTGGTTGCCTGTCTATCAGGCACCAAAAACTCCAAACAAACTTAAAAAGTTAGGTTATGACTGATATTTGTGACAGGTTTGGTGTCAGTCCTCAAAATGAGGGGGTGAATTTCAAGAAATTTCAAAGCCAACTTGATCCTTTTATTTTATTGTCGTGTGTACTTCGATGTGTTAATTTAACTAAGAAACTGTGCTACAGAGATGAGGAAACCATACACCAAGACAGAAAAACTCGACAATCTGAAGTTGAAAATTCCAAAAATAAGAAATTAAAACGTATATCAGGGGTTTTTAAGTTCATCATTGCAACGAAAAAACCATAACCTGTAAATTTCAGGCATGTCACAAACTTAGAAACCATTTCGAATACATTTCCTTCTGGTCATATTTAATACAACTGTTTTAAGACAATACACAATACAGTTTAACAGGTGTGCTATAAAACTGCCAAAAATAATTTACGACATGTACAAAAACTACACCTCCGGCGCAACATTGTTAAACGCCAGACGATGAAAATCACAAGAATTAAATGAACCGTGGCAAAATGAAAGACCGAATTGTCTTTAGTACTTTGGTCGTATCAGATTAAAGAATACACGCCGGTATGCTAAAAACTGAAAGTAGATTCAAAAAGACAATAATTATAATGTTTAGTACAAATTATTAACAACATAGCTAGTGGTAGAATTTTTTATATGTTTATGTCAACATTGTGAGTTTTCATGTTTGCATAAATAGTACCAGTAATAATTTTGATATTAATGTAATTAATTGCTAGAACACATTAGACAGATCGTTGAATTGAAAATTACCAGCGAGCTACTAATCAGCGAAATCTTTACTCACAATGAACCTCATGCTGAAATTTAATATCCTCCAGAGTAGAGAGTAACAAGGTGGTCATCATTATTAATCTTGACTTATATACCGGTGTTTCCGGTCTGGACAAGTTATTGATCTTCCGTTTCGAAATTTCGCGTTCAAGGACGGTGTCACAGTAATAATAATCGTAGAAAAAGTATTAGAAGAAGTGGTTTCTAAACATGCACATGCAATTATAAAATTTCGTTAGAGAGTTAAAAGTCCCTGATAATGAACCCACGATGTTGACATTACTTTCAAAATAATGGCATTAACAGATAAAAAATTTAATTGCTTACTAATAATGACCCAGATTTAAGGAGAAAGGAAAATTGTTTGGAAAAAGGTGAAAGATCGAGGAATGTGGATTGTGTATCGATAATATTCGAATAATGAGATATGAAAAGGGAAAAGTCTTTACATTATTGCATTATAAATTTTATGGAGACTGTCAGTATGAGAGTGCATAAATTTTGCTTATTAGACGGCAGAAAATTAAATTTTATGAAAAACTGTCTATTATTAAACACATTCTGCGAGTTCGTTGTAAGAATGTCCAGCGAAAGGAGCGTTTATGTGATTCACACAAGGAAAAAGAGTGAAAATTAATGACTCATGACAAAACCAAAAAGTTTGCAGTGAAATTCCAGTAAGACAAAGTTCGGCTTGGTGGAATCAAAAATTATAATTTTTCCTTTCGCCTCGAATTTCCATTTATAATAAAAAATAACTGCAGAAGAATGCGCATACATTTGTTAATTGAGAATTAATTTCAGATTCTTAATGAAATGCTTAGATTATCATCGGATTATCATAAATTTCCGTCAACTGAATACGTGCTGGTTTTCCTGAAGAACCAAGATTGCTGCATGTGCGGTTTAATAACAGCAATTAGCCAATTAGTGCATACGTTTTTGTCGGCATCATCTGTCAGCAGAGCGTCCGTTACCTACCTCGCAGTGTCCCCTCTAATTCGCTTAATTAATTACTTAACGTCTGTAAACATAAAACGTGGAGTAACGTTAACACTTCTTCAGGTTCAGTGACAGGTGACGAAAAGCTCACATAAAGCCAGTGTTTTCTCTTCTCTTGAACAACGGCTGTCTGATCCTTCGATAACGGCCTCGTAAAAATTAGTACCCACAAGGTCCTCTAATGAATGGGGTAGTAGAGATAAAGCGAGGGAGGAAATGACATGACGACGACTGCGACAACAACGAACGGACAACAAAGTTAATCTGCATTTTAGAATTAAATGGTGGCATTTTGGATTTGCATAAATCGAGGGCGGGGATTAAAACTTGAACCCTTTTCTTTCCACAATGGACGCTTTCATAACTTCCAGCGGATGATGTTTTAAAGACACACCTGATGATGTCATTTACATTTATGTGCACGTGTAATTTTTAACGGATTTGGCCAAATTTCGCTCGCACTAATTAAATTATAATTGGATGATTCTCGAGAGTCGCGTCAGGCAATTAGGCGCTGCGAATGTTGCCACAAAAAGGAGAATTTTCTCTTTTGCTCCATTAAATTTCTATCGCGGATTTAAATAGCACTGGTGACTTTATAAAGAGAGATGACGTTCAGACGAAAGTGAATATGCGCTGCATCCGACTGCACATTTCAAATTAAAAGAAAAGAAACCTTAATTCTTTAAGTGCTTAGAAAGCTGAGTGATAGTTGTAGAAGTGGTACTCCGGCATAACATTGAACCCATGGACTGGCCGTAAAAATCTTGCTCTAACCATCAAAGTAGGTTCAACTGACCCTTCACTGAGGTTGCGCTCGTTGTTTTTGTGAAATCGATCGATTAATTACAAGTGAAACGTCTTTTTCTGGACTCGATTCTGGAATACCCGTTTAATATAAGTTACAATTTCACGGTCAATGCTCCACCGTTCAGTCGTGTGAAAGTAAGAGTTCACGAAAGTTCCTATAGATCAGATGCGCTCGAATGACTCAGGACTCGAAGGTTAAAAGGTTTCAAAAAGTGTGTACAGAAAAACAGTCTTTAATAATAAAAAAGTAAAAAAGTAATAACAAAAACAAGAGGTAAAACTAATCAACAAGAAACAGCATCAGATCATTTAATGCCATCCGCCTCCTTCATGTCCGCCGTCACCACCGCCGCCACCACCTCCGTGTTTTGGGACGTGGTGGTAGACGTGTTTGTAGACAGGTACATGGACGGGGTAAGGTTTGTTGATATGAACTGGATGGTGCTTCTCAATTTCAATCTTGTACGGTTTCTTCACGTACACGGGGACGAGTTTCTCCACAGTAATGGGAACCTTCTTTTCGATTTCTTGAGGTACCAATTTGTAGATTGGCACCGCCACCGGTTTTGGTACATTTATGCGGACGGGGAAGGGATGCGGTACTGGGACTTTGATGACCTGTGGCACGGGTACTCCAACGGGATGTGGTACCGGCACGCCGACTTTCTTCACCACGTGGATCGGTACGGGTTTGGTGTGCTCGATGGTCTTAGTCGGGATCTCGTGGTGTTCGCTGCCTCCGTCGTGGCCCGAGAAATCCACGCCCTTCCAGCCACTGTCCCAGCCGTGTCCCGCGCTTTCCAAGGAGAGCTCGTGGCCGCCGCCCCCGTACTCCAAACCGCCGCCATCATGACCTCCGGAGTCGCCCAAGAAGCCTGCTTGGGTACCCAACACCAAGGCGAAGAGAATGGCTGCACCCTGGAAGAAAAACACAATTTTAGAAAATGTGGAAAACACTTTTCACGTTTGGTGATCTTACAACGTATCTCATGGCTTCGTACTTGGGTTAGAACGATGATCTTGATGGATTGAAACTGATGATGGGATCTGGATTACAGCAAATTTATATAGGAATCCACTCGCTAATGAGTGGGGTTGAGTTTTGTGAGTGTGCGGCTTCTACAAAACAATTTGCATTCCTTAGAAGGTCGTATAAATCCGTAACAATAAAACGAGGATTAAAAAATTAGGTGAAAGTATTAAAATTGCTTTGAAAAAAATAGCAGCTGGGTGGGATTTTTCTTGCCTCTCCGTTTTACCACGTACAATCACATATTAAATTAGAGCATCTCTCTCCTTTCTAAAACCGGCGGAACGTTCTCCTTAAACTTTGGTATGCTTTGTGAAGATTAAGACCTCTGTCATAACTAGAGCATATACGCCAAAGGAGACGAACTCTGAATTCGCTTCAAAAAACTGCTATAATTACAGAGTTCGTTGAATTATTGGATTCTTGAACTTTAATTAACGTCTGGAGGAAAGAATTTGAATAAACCACGGAAGTTAATTTACTTACAAAAACAATAAAATCATTTGTTTCGGATTATTTGAATGAATTCCACGGAAAAACGCGAATCTTATTATGAGCCTGTCAAAACATCTAAGCTTCACATACCAGGACTTTGACGTGATACATGATGGCCTGAGCTACTAGAATAATTAAGACAACACGAGACGACACCGAGTGTGTTAAAAATAAATTAATAGACACGGTGGCCACAAACTCAAGTGTTATGTAACTTTTTGTAAATAAAATCGGTTCATTTATCCATCCTTCAGTTTTAACTAACATTTAAATAAACCACTTAAACTTTTTTTCTTTGTGCAAAAACTTGATCACACTTCAGACTTGATTAGTACGAGTTTTCAAACCCATGAATGAAATATCGGCTGTTGTTGGAAGTCAAGTTGAAGGTTCTGTCGCAATCGAGCATTATTATTAGACAAAAAAAAACTTACGGCATTCGTCTGATGAAAGTTTTCATCAAAATGAAAGTCAAGGATGGGGCGAGGACCTAAAGCAATAGATGGAAAGTTGTGCACAAAAAAAGAGGAAAAAAATTAAGTTGCCTATGGTACAATTCTATCAGTGATAAGATAAACTCGTTTTGAATTCTTTGGACTTGTAGGTGAATTTTTAAAAGCAACGAACTCGTTAACGTTTGAAAAAAGTTAATTGAAATACTGGGAGAAGAATTTGGGTTAACTTTTACGTCTGGGTTTTTCAATTTGGCTCAAATTTATTTTTAATCGATGGAGTAAATGAAGTGCCACACAAAATAATAGACTACGTGTAAAGACACTTTCGTGCAATAATAGAATTGTTTTTGATTTGTCGATTTCTAAAGTAAAAACGACTAACGCACACTAGACTCGCCATCAATGTTAAGTACCGTTTATTTAATGAACTAATTGTTTCAAGTAGATATTAATGTCAGTTAACGTTAGCTAATGACATTATTGAAAGTAAACAGTGCGAAACAGTTGTAGTCGATTAAAGACATAATTTAATAAAATTATCATTAATGATCATGCTATTGTAATAAAAGAATCCATCTGCTTGTATCCAATTTAATAAGTGCAACAGCAGAGATATTTGCACGTTTTTGTTTGTTATTTAGTTTTTCCATTGTTAGTTAATAAAGCATATATTATAATAAATTTTTGTTTGAATACTAAAGTTAAACAAATGTAAATTTACTGTTAACGTTCATGCGAATATCGCTATTCGCACGTTCATTATAATGCTTTTGATTTGTCAAACTAAACAACACATTAATTTGAAATAAATTCAACTTTTTGTTAAATGGAATTGTGATTCTCACAATTGTTTCATTGTTTTAGTAATTTTTGCTTTTAAAAGTTATACAAATGTGGGAAATATTTAGAAAATCTCCACTCTTGCTTCGTCTAATGCAAAATTAATCCACAGCTTCACCGTGAATTTTTCTTGAAAGTGTTCGCGCTAATTTTCAGTTAATGAATTGTCGTTAAATAAAAGACGTTGTAAAATAACATATACTATGTCTGTGGTATTCAGGTAAACCAGAAATGAAAAAGTGTAACACTTAGTTGACCTAAACAGACAATTTACATAGTTGATTTTGTTTACGACACGTGTGCAACGTTTAGGTATTTTAATTCAGGATGTTACAAGAAAAACAGGATCACATGCATTAAAATACAATTATATTAGGATGCGTCTCTCTCTCATTTAAATGTGTACTAATTTCAAAAATGATTTTTTTTAATTTATTGTACAGAAAAATTTCAAATAAGTAAAATAAAAATTTCAATATGCATGGTGTTTAAATTTACCCTTTCTTCTAATTTTTATTTATAAAACTCAACTGCTGGACTTGAATAGCTTGTAATAAAACTATTAAGTACTATCGAAGATAGTAAAACGATGAAACAATTTTTGTTTTGTTATGTCCAATGTAGCTATTAAGTTTTAAGGTGAAAATACTGTCGATTGTTTCTCTTTAAGCAAAAGAAATTTCAAATTTTATTGATGTATTGTTTTCAGTAAATTTGTATAAATATTACACATATGTTATTGGAATTTGCATAAAGTTTTAATAATAACCAGTCACCATGTACTCGTTTCACATATAAATAAATACTCAGACAGTAAAAACGCAATTTTATAATCTTGTAATAGGAAGAAAAAAATCTAGAAAGTGTGTTTAATTTTTTTAATTAAAAAGCAGACACCAATTTATTTTTGCATATTTTGCAATTTTTTCTAAATCACTCGCACAAAGTCATCAGACAAATATGTACATAATTCAAAGACCACTTTCAAACTTGTCGAATAGTTAAACAGAGAAAAAAATTCAAAAACGAAATCTAAATGTGTTTAATTTTCAAATTAAATTTTGCAAACATAAAATATTTTTTCATTCTCATACAGAAGAAGTAGGGGAATTACTTTAGACACTTGACATCAATAACTTATAAATTATTGAATTAATAATCTAAAGATGTGTTTTATTGTTGTTATTATATTAAATCGTATAAACCGGCATATTGTTGTAAATTAAATTATTTTTTATACGCAAAATGGAAGCTTAAATTAAGTACACTTTAAGACACTTTAACCAATAAAAAATTTTTGATCTAACTATGTTTATGGCAAGTTGTGTCCTAACTAATAGTTTTATAAATTTAGATGTGACAGTTCTTATCTTTTGATATTTATGACTTCTTTGGTTGTTTTGAATCTTCATTTGTCATGACAAGCAGATGCGAGAAATCTTAACTTTGTTTTTGTACACTGTTGTGACCACTCATTAATAACGTGTAGGTAGTTATTAAGAAGATATTTATCACACAAATAACCAAAAACTATATGAAAAACATTTTATTTGTACAAATAAAAAACACAACATAACAAACATAACAATGAAAAATGATGGCGATGATAAGTTAAGTTTAAATGACAAGGAGATGGAAAATGATCAGGTTAGCTTAATGCGACGCTTAATGCCATCCTCCATGACCTCCTCCGCCACCACCACCACCTCCGTGCTTAGGAACGTGGTGGAAAATGTGTTTGTAAATAGGGACATGAACCGGATATGGTTTGGCTACATGTACAGGATGATGCTTTTCAATCTCAATCTTGTAAGGCTTTTCTACTGTAACAGGGACTAGTTTCTCAACGGTAATGGGAACCTTTTTCTCGATCTCTTGGGGAACCAACTTGTAGATCGGAATAGGAATAGGATGAGGTACTGGAATGTGGACGGCATAGGGTTGAGGTACTCCCACTTTAATTACTTGAGGCACAGGAACTCCAACAGGATGCGGTACAGGGACTCCCACCTTCTTGATAATGTGAACCGGAACGGGATTAGTGTGTTCTATGGTTTTGGTCGGAATGTGGTGATGTTCCGAACCGCCATCAACACCATGACTACTAAATTCTTGACCGCCTCCGCCTCCAAGATCAAAACTGTGCCCGCCGCCTCCAAGTTCAAGGCCGTGACCTCCGCCTCCACCTAATTCAAGTCCGTGACCTTCTCCTCCGCCACCCAATTCAAGTCCGTGACCTCCTCCTCCTCCACCTAATTCAAGTCCGTGGCCTCCTCCTCCTCCACCTAATTCAAGTCCGTGACCTCCTCCTCCTCCACCCAATTCGAATCCGTGACCACCTTGGAAATGACCGCCTTCTCCTCCACCGTACTGTTGACCTCCTCCCAGTTCCAAATGACCGCCGCCGCCGCCGCCGCCGCCGCCACCACCACTAAGGTCCAAGTGACCTCCGCCGCCACCTCCTAATTCGAAGTGGCCTCCGCCGCCGCCACCACCAAGATCGAAGTGACCGCCGCCGCCTCCTCCTCCTCCTAGTTCCAAGTGACCTCCTCCTCCTCCTCCCCCTCCCCCTAGTTCCAGGTGGTTGCCGCCGCCGAGCTGTTCTCCTCCCCCGTGTTCACCGCCTCCGACGAAACCGCCGTCACCTCCCGAACCATGATCGAGGCTGCCTGCGTATCCGGCCTGCGCTATTCCTAAAGCGAATGCCAAAAGGATGCTGGCGCCCTTGAAAAAATATGAGTTATTAGTAGCTGGAGGGACATTTTTTTCGGTAATTGCACTCACAATAAATCTCATGTTTCCACACTTGGAGCGTCGCAAAGAAGTCGAATGAAACTGATGATGCGATATGCGTGCTGTTGTCTTTTATAGAGACTGCAAGGTGGGGTCCATCAGTGAAAGGTTTGCTTGGTTGTGGAGTGCACAATTAACAAAAATGCAAGGCCCCTCAATGAACGTGTAGGTCAATAAAAAAAATAGTGCACCAAACAGAGATCGTTGGCCTTTTCAGCTATTATTATACGGCGAAGCTTTTAGCCAAGTCGAGCATATCAGGAAGGAGCATTTCATCGGAAAGGAGCGGACGCTCTCTTTCTCTTTTTTGCCTTATTTTAATAATGTTATCTAATCCGCGATAAAAAGTCACCACATTCACAAAAAGAACTACACGGCCATACATCAATGTAATTTCGACATTTCTCTCGTGTCTTCGGTTCTCGTACATTTTCTAATTTGTCAAGGCCTCAATCGTTAAATTAATTAATCGGAATTTCTACGCTAATTGGTCTCAGTTGTCAATCGGTGACAATGTTCGTGAAAGCGCGAATTTCCACAATTTTCCCCGTTTATTTCGGATGAGGTCCACTGACGCAACCAATTGTCCAGCGGGCGTGTATGGAGCCCTGATAACAAGCTCATCATGTTTTCACTTTCTGGCCTTTGATTACGTCTTGATATCTGTATCAAAAACATACTTTCGTTACGCTGTCGCTTTCGTTCTTAACTGGTCTTTACATGTCCTAGAGAGTGGCCGTGAAAGGAGTATCAACATCATAATAACTGTTCCACAGTAAACTCGTATAATACCAAAACGAACACACTGTAGGAGAGAGGAAATGTATTCTGATTAAAGTCTTTCACTCACGGTGAAGGTCAGTTCACATTCACCAGAAGAAACACTGAACTCGGACAGAACGCTTCGCTAAATTTAGTGCCAAAATCCATTGTTCCTCTGGAATTCTCAAATTGGGTGAGTCGTCTTAATTTTGTCCGAATCTTATCTGGCGAGGTGTTTGTTTATTTTAGGTCGCATCGGATTTTTCATTAAGGAATAAAAAGCCGGCTTAGAAGAGATTAAAAATCCGAAGGATGAAAGGAGTTAATTAAGACGATTGCGGCTGTAAAAATCCCCCAGACCGGTATTGCTCGGATCGCATCACAATTAAACAATTAAACTGGCTAATTGGTGCTTCCTCTGCAATAAACAATTACAGAGACCGGTATGAACAATAACACTAATTAATATTGAGTTAATGGCGCATTGTGCTAGTCAAATTTGCAATTCTTTGCTCAGCTATTTTACGGCCCGGGAGGAATTGAACTTTACATGTAGATGTCAGTTGCGGCTTCGCTTTGAAAATGAACAGGCGCAGATTTTTTTAAAATTCTTACGCAATAAACGATGCTAAAATATCTTGTTAACACCATCATGAAGTAACGCTTATTAATAATTATCATTGTTATGTTTAAATGGATGTAACTATTTTTTAATTTGCGTTTTCTTAAACACTTAAAGAAATTAACACTAGGAAATACCAATTCGGTTATTATGCTAATGTTGACACTACCAACAAGTGGCTCTCAAGTAAAATCGTTTAAGTGTCTTAAAGAAAGTTATTCAAATTTCTTAATATTCAACTAATTAGACACTAAAAATGGTTGGAATTTTTTTATTATGCCGAACTATGTACCTTTATTTTACTCGAACTTAGTTTTAAGAATTGTGTGTCTCCACTTTTCAAAGTAAGGATTTTTTTTATTGAATTTATTAAAAAAAAATCTAAATATTTTAAATTACTAAAAAAAATCAGGATACGTGTTGCACTGACTGTAAAAAGTTTTTGTTCATTTTTAATTCTCTTTGAGTCAGAACAAATAATTTTACTTTACCATCCAACTTTAAGTTTCCAAAGCAACTTTTTTGCAAATATTCTAAGTCGAATACAAACCTAACATATAATATTCCAGCCTTTAATAACAATTAGTTTTATAAAGATACCTGTTTGATTTTTTTTACATTTTAAAGTTTAGTTTTGAAAAATCTGTTTATGTTTATTTTTTTTTAATGAATTTTTTCAAAGCATGCCGGAAATTTGATTGTTTCGAATTTAATTTTATAAGTTTATTTTATGTTTTCTTTGCTAATACAAATTTATGTGAGCCCTACAGGCTTCAAATGCCTCTTGCTATACAAATTATTGACACTATTAGATAACAGCTCTAAGGAATTTGAAATTTATACTTTCAATTTTTTTCTAGTCTGGACACTTCCTTTTCATGATTTTTGCATCGCTTTCATCCATTCTGTTGGCTCTCCTTCCTTCATCCCGTTATTTTGTTTGTTTCACCAATATTTATGTCACATTCTTCATTCAATCCCTCATTTAAATTTTGCTATTAAAATTTTCTCTTTCGAACTTTCTTCTCATGGTTATTTTGGATTTTTGCAGTCATTGTATTTTGATGCTATATCATCTGCATTTCTTCCTTATCTGTCAATCTAAATCTTTACCACGTATTCAAAGTTATTCTCTCCATTTTATCTCTGTTTCCCTCTTTTCTCTAACTTCCATTCATTTGTAATCTTTTCTATTGCAATAATCTTGCCTTTCTTTTCATATCCTCTTTTCTATTTCTTTTTGTTCAACGCCTCTTCATACTTTACTGCTCTTTTGCTGGCCTAAACTTTCATTTTGTGCTTTTGTTCTAACCCCCAGCATTATTCCTTCCATCCCATATCTCGAACCAAACTATCAAAGGCAAGGGTTTTCCTAAGAAAATCACTCTGGTTTCTCGACGTTGAATTCCAATTAGTAGAAAGTGTAGCTTTTAATTTGTGCTATGGTGCTAATTTTGACTTTTCCCGTTATCTTTACACTTAATATTTTATTGCATCACTTTGTACAATTAACAACCTGTAAGTGTCTATTTGCGGACATCCGCAAACCAATGATGGGTTTTTAATAGCTTTTAAGCAAAAATATACAATTATTGTTTTTTCTGTCAAATTTTGTTCTCATCTCAGAATTGTTCAAAAAATGTTGGCAATTTTTCTTAAATAGTGCTAGCAACTATGTTGCCATATCACCTGGTTATTGTTGGTTGAAAAATTCCCACAGTTGTTTGAAATGTGAATCTTTTTATTTTCCGAGCCTAAGCTAGGGAAGTATTGTAGTAGGGTCCATTTGGCGAACGGCTAATTTCACGTTTCATAACCCCTAGAGTGTGGAAAACTAGAAATGCACTCATTTCCATCTCTCTGTTCTCTCTGTGCTGGTGGTTTTAGTAGACAATAATCTCCAAAACTACTGCACTGATGTTGTGAAATTTTAAATGTATTTTAAGAATATCGTATAGATGATAAAACGTTAACCAAAATTTATCTGATCATCGCCACCGAAAATTTCATTTCAGCTCAAAATTTTGCGTAGTAAATCCCATTTAAATTTTATAAAATAACATACTTCTGGTCGTGTGGTTTACGGATCGGGCTTTATTTTTTATCTTATACAACCAGATTTTTAGAAAAAAAAAACAAATATTTTATGTATAAAACATTTTATGGTTTAACTTAGAAACTACAAAACTGAATCCTTCGAAATATTGCAAACGCTATCATAATCATGGAAAATAATAATCACTGCTTATCCCCTCAAAAAATTTGCAAGGCCATCTCAAAATTTTGTAAAATGTAGAAAATATTGTAAGTTTGAATAAAACGATTTATTTTATTGATTAAATTAAAAAGATTTACCTCATTGTTGTCCTGTTCTTAAATACATATTACGTTGTACTTATCCAAATTGGTATACTAGCTCTATAGTATACACGTTGTTAGGAAGGCTCTGAAGAATTTGAAAAAAATGGTAAAAAATTCCTCAACCAAATTTTTAATTTAATAAATTTTATGATATCTTTGAATATGAATTTAATTTACAGTCTAAAATTCCGCTAAAATAACTGTCTATTGAACTTGTAGTTCATGAAAAAAGAAATCGCAATTATAGAGGTAATTTTACAACTTTGAAGTTTAATATTTTCAAAATTTGGTTCCGGGAATATTTTAATCATTTTTTCGATTTCTTTAGAACCTTCTCGACAACGTACTATCGAGCTTATACCTACGTCATTTTTTCATCACCCTGTATGTGTCCTTGCTAAAATATTGATGACGTCATCACACAATTTCGTATGCAATGCATTTATTTCAGGTTTGTACTCAACATATTTTCCGAGACAAAAAATTTCTTCACATTCAAATAGTTTTCAGTGTGAGGCATAAACTGTTCGTAATATTTCGTTTCAAAAGCAACACTTTAATGTTGAGTCTGGTTGAAAACCTGACGTTAACGATGCTAAAAAAAGCAATTAAAATAATAAACGATCTGGATTTTTCTGTAATAATAATTGTAACTGTTTTTTAGTACCAATTTTTTCTTATAAAATATCTGCTCACACGAAAATTGTGAGTTCTTCTAAATAAATGTAAGCGACTTTTGAAAATATTTGTTGCGAAAAAATAAAAAAGAATTATGACGCTCTTAACCGGCAGTGTTCCGGTCTAAAATTTTTGTCACCCTGTAAATCAGGCAAGCCCCTTCAGAGGCCCAAAACGTGTCCCTTTTCCATTATTTTTGAATCGCGTCTTGAGGTATAGGCCCGCCGCCACCTGTGACTGATGCGCGCGAGAGTTTGCACAACCCCATCGCTCGAGTAATTAGAGTGTGCGGGGGCGGCTTAAGTTCGTAATTAGTCCCATCTGGCGGCGGCTCCGGCAGCGGCCAAGTAATCGACGAGTGGCGCCCTCACACATGAGACTTCTGTAATGCACTCCGCCTAATTGCTCATCTCTATAAACCCCGGATTACATTCGTACTTGCTGCACCCCCGCGCAGCCCCTTCGCACTCCCTCCAACGGTGATAACGGGCTCACTCCTTTTCATATTAATGTCCTCGAGCACGGCCGTCGTTATCTGGACGTTCGCGATGCTACATTCTGCGACGCTGCGCCCCAACAGATTACGGATTTAAAATTGCCCCATTTAAATATGTAAATTGGAGCGCCATTAGCGCAATTGTAGAGGGACGTTTAGCCCGTTCTTAACGATTTTTTCTTTTTTCATAAATTAAATAATTATTTCGAGACGAAGAAACGAACGCGCGGATTGGATGGGGTGGATGGGAGGGTTTAGTTAGAATCGATGGTTTGACCTAAATGTGATGAAGCGACTGACGCAGGAAGTGCTGTTAGAACTACTGTAGAATTAATGGACGCTATATTTATAGATCATTTGAACTGAAATACTATCTAAGGCTAATAAAATTTATTCACGGCTTATATATGTGAATCAGATTACATCCGATAACATTTTTAAGGGTTGGTAAGTCGTTTCTACCAAATTTTTAAAGGATACTTTATTTTGATTTTTCGATTAATGTCTAATGATAGTCACATTACGAGGGGTGTTCAGGTGAAATTGAAACCAATGTCATTACAAGCTTCTTTAGTATTCCAATCCTAGATTTTTGACAAGTGGTGTTCAATATGCGTGAAAAATTGTATTTGATTGGGTTGATCATTTAACTGCAATGAAAGTTTACATTCATGGGAAATGTGGAAAGGGACTGTTATCAATAAGTTTTGTTCTTTTGAGAAAGCAAGCAAAAGAAATGTTTATATTAACAAGACGAGAACATTTGGTGAATTTAAAGAAAGGTGTTCCTTCCACTTGAAAGTGAGAGGGCCATTATTTGCAAGATCTACTCCTGATCGTTTATAACTCGCTACTACTCAAAGCGAGGTGAAAATATAGCGTTGCAAGTATTATTATGAAAGGAAAAACAATTAATTTAGAGCTATTGAAAACTCAGTTGAGCATCACTGTAACAGATTTTCGTCATTCATTTACCAGAAAAAGTCTACAATTGTGACAACACATAAACTGTTATAATCTGATCTGATATAATCATTTTCGAATAATAATTAAAAATAACAGGACCTGACAATATTCCCATTTGGTTTTTTAATCGTTGGCTGTGGAAGTTGTTTTGTTATTTCATGTGTTATATGTTTATTTTAACTTTGTCAATATCTAATTATCCCACTCTTTGACAACTAAAATCAAATTTAACTAAATTGTTTGAGAATATGTCATCTAGTGTTATATACAATAACGTGTGTAATGCTATTGTTTTAGAACAACATGAGTTTCTAAAAAAA